ACTGTAGCAGCAAAGCTGCCAATCCTTGCAACCAGCCCCTCGCTGCAGAGCAGTGTCTGCACAGACAGGCTGGCGGGAGCGCGGCAGGGATGGGGGCAGGCGCCGGCAAGGGCGCCATCAAGCGTAAAATGCTTCTCAGGTTATCGTATGCCTTTGGTCCATTTCCAAAGCCCGGCAGTGGTGGTTTTGTCCAGCTTTCTAGTTGCCTTGCGAGGTGAGGATTTGTCTACTACGTCATTCAGCGGTAGCCAAACCCCCTTTCATTATGCATTCTTTCCACCACTGCTTTCAAGTGTTCTACTCCTTCTATCACTATGCTTCCAGCTTACTAATTCTCTCCCTGGCTTTTTGGCTGTTTTACCTGCTCTTTAACCTATATTTGATTTATTTCAAGAATGCTGTTTTTTGGGACGCCTGGGTGGCTCAGTGGGTTAAACCTCTGCCTTCGGCTCAGATCATGATCTTGAGGTCCTGGGATCAAGCCCCATATTGGGTTCTCTGCTCAGCGGGGAGCCTGCTTCCCCCTCTCTCTCTACCTGCCTCTGCCTACTTGTGATCTCTCTCTGTCAAATAAATAAATAAAATCTTAAAAAAAAAAGATAAAAAAAAAAAAGAATGCTGTTTTTCATCTCTAGTCACTCAGTTTTCCTTCCCGCCCCCAGACTTGCCTGTTTATTCCCGATGGTCCCTTTGTTGCCTGCCCCGTAGCACAGCTGTGCTCTCTGACAATTCTAGTACCTGCTGTGCGTCGTATCTGCTGACTCCCATTGTCAGTGGCCTGCCTTTTCGTGTGTTTTGTGATCTTGGTGTGTGAGCTCAGGACTTGATCCCAGCCTGAGGGAGTTCCTGCCTCTGGAGGGGAAGCCTTCTTCCAGAGAGTTCTTGCTTCTACTTCTGCTGGGAGCCAAAGGGTACCAATCACCAGAGACCAGAGATCACCAGAGCCCTCTAGAAGAAAGGGGTGGCACTGCTGTGTCGCTACCAAGCTTGGGGCCTGTGGCGGGGGCTCAGGAGGTGCCCCCCCCACTCCTGGGTATCGGTTCCTCATCACAGGCCCATCACAGGTAGTAGCATGGCCCTCCTACTACCTTTCTGGCCTCAGTTTCTCCCTTTTTGTGGACCTCCCCCGCTTCTTTGAGGTCCACCAGTGCCTCAAAAGTGTATCCTCCGGGGGACAGGATTGCTTTCTAGTGGGAGGGCCCTCCCAAGCTCCTCATCCATTAACGCATGAGAAACTGAAGTCAGAGTGAACGTTCACGGAGCTTTGACTCCATGCCCCATACTCTTCTAAGCAGCTCACACGAGTGGGGTCCCTCCAACCTCATAGTAGCTCCCCCCACCAGGTGGATACTGTCATTATGCACGTTGTACAGACATGGTACCAGGGCACAGGGCGGCTAAGTGACACAGCTGGTCCTTGCGCGGAGTGGAGCGGGACGTCAGAGCCTGGCTTCCGGCTCTGGGGTCTGCACCAGCACACTGTGCATCCTGTCAGGATTCGTGTGCATGTCTGCGTGTGAGACCGTGTGTGTGACTAAACGCCAGCAGGTGTGTGTGCCTAGGCCGGAGCGGCTGCTCGGTGCCCACAGATGTGAAGGTCACTGCGTGTGACTGTTCACTCTGACCTTACCTTCTCAGTGTGGCCATCTCTGACCACCCCATTTAGAATTGACATTCCCCTGCTCGTTCTTCCTCAGTAACAGCCAGTAACTCTCTCACACACAATACAGTCTACTTTTGCTTATGTCTGCTCCCCCCTTGGAAGCCGAGCCCACCCTGACTGCTGTGGGAACACGCTGTAGGCAGGGGGAGTGCGGCCAGGGCCCATGTAGGAGGCTCCTGTCCTAGTCCTGGCCAAGGGGGTGGTGCCGTGGGCTAGCGTGCTTAGTGGCACTCTAAGGGTTGAATTCGGGACCTGTTTTGAATGTGGAGCAATCGGGATTTACTCGTGGTTTGGATGGTACAGCATAAGGGAGTGAGAGAGGTCAAGGGTGACTCATTTTGTCATCTGGGCGAGTGGGTGAGTGTGGGAGGTGGGGAACACTGGAAAAGAGTCAGATTTGGGGGACGGGAAGTGAGAGCTCAGTGTTGGGTCTATTAAGTGTGTGATGCCAGTTAGCTCCCCGAGTGGAAAGGGAGAGGACACTGGGATAGGAATCTGGAGTTCAGAGGCTGCGGATGAAAATGTGGGAGTCATTGGCTTACTGATTCTAATTAACTCCATAAAACTGGGTGAGATCTCTAAGGGAGTGAATGAGATAGAGAAGACCAAGAAGTTCTAGGGCAGGGGGGTTGGATTGGGAAAGGCTATTGCTGTGGGCTAAGAAAAAGATAAAGTCTGTACCAGGGAGGCAGGCATGGGCACTGAGCAGGGAGCAGGTCGAAAAGTATGGATAGGAGCGCCTGACTGGCTCAGTCTGTAGAGCGTGCAACTCTTGGTCTCGGGGTTGTGAGTTTGAGACACATGTTGGGCACAGAGATTACTTTAAAAAAAAAAAAAAAAAGTATGGATAAAAAACTTGGCAGGATATGAAGCCATGTCCTCTCCACAGCCTTCCCTGACAACTGTGTCCTGCTAGGTGTCCCTTCGGGTTGCTCCCATGGTTCCTTATGTCCACGTGGCATGAGGGTGGTTGGCTTCCCCCGAGTTCTGAAGAGGCAGAATCAAATGTTCATCTCCTGTCCCTCGTCCCCTATGCAGAGGACAGGGCCAGCAACTGTTAGACGGATGGATAAGGGAGTGAATGAGTGCCACACTCCCTTCTCCTCTCCCAGCTCCTATAAAGGAACCAAAAAAGGTGACGCCCAAATCAGTCCTCCCTACAGTCAAGAAGCTGGTGACAGCCCCCCCTGGGCCCAGCAAAGCCAAGTAAGGAGCAGGGTTGGGGGGTTGGGGAAGGAGGAGAGTACAAAGGAAATGCTGCTCCCTGTTGCCCACCTCCTGGTCTGATGGGGATATGTTCCAGGCCTTCTTGGACACCCAGCGGAGACAGTCAGAAGCGCCCCTCCCGAGACTTGGGTAGGTCTCCTTGCCTCCCTCTGGTGGGAAGGAATGGGGGACCAGGATAGGGTGGCTGTGCTGAAGGACAGAGACGGGGAGAGACTTGGGGTCAGAGGACCCTGGACCCCTGAGGTTCTGCTCTCATAGGCTCCGGTGGCAGCTTCCTCAGCGGGGGTCCAGGCCACCCTGGTAGAAAGGGACCAAAAACCCAGGCTTCCCGGCAGCGCTCTGCAACCAGTCAGGTAAGAGGTCCTGAGATACCGGGACCACCGACAGAGTCCGGTTCCCATATCCCTGGGATATGTGAGGGGGGAAGGATCCCAGGCCAAGGGGAACCTGACTCAAACTCTCAAGGTACCCATCCCTCAGCTGAGCCCTCACCCCCATCACCACAGGAGGAAGAGCAGAGCAGCCTAGCGAAGGCCTCTCCTGTGAATAAAACTCCCACTCTGGACAAGACCCCCAGCCCAGAGAAGACTCTGTCTCCAGATAAGGCCCCCACTCCAGAGGAAACCCTGACTCCAGATAAGGTCCCCGTCTCAGAGGGGGCCCTGACTCTAGAGTTCAAGGCCCCAGCCCTAGGGAACTCCACCCCACAGGAGGGCCTGACTCTAGACAAGGCCCCCAGCCCAGACAGCCTCATTTCTGTGGATGCGGCCCCTGCCCCAGAAGTCCCACCAGAGGATGAACTCCTTGGCCCAAAGATGGTCCCTCCTGGGGATGAGGTGCCCACCCTGGAAAAGGTCTTGACTCCTGAGCAGGTGCTCTCTGAAGAGGCCTCCACTAGAGACAACACTCAATTCCATCACTTCTCTCCGGAGCAAGCCCTGCTGAAGTTCACGTCTCCTGTGGCCAATGAGTCTCGATCCCAAGAGGTCCACATGCCAGAGAAGGCTGATCTCTGCATGAATACACACCCTCTTGATCAGAGCGACGGCTCCCCATTCCAGTCTAAGTCCAAGCCAGGGTCCATGCCTGCCCTTGAGAAGGCTACAACCCTCCTCCAGGAGGCACCTGGGAAGCATGAGGGTACCCCGGAAGAGGCAGCACTCCCCAAAGAGGAGGTGGCCCCCAAAGAGGTAGACCCTGCTCAAAAGAATCCTCATTCTATCAAGTCGACTCCAGACCCCCAAGAGACTCCCACCCCACTTTCCCCGGTTCCGCAAAATCTCACGGACAGCAAAAGTGACAGAGGCGATATCATGAGGCTACAGGACGAGATGGAATCTTTAAGGAGGTCGCTGGAGCGGATGGGGGTGCAGCTGGAGTAAGTGGGGAGGAGGGAGGAGCGGGGTCAGGAAGGGGACCGGTGGCTCTAAGCCTGCCCAGCCCACCCCTCCCCCCCCCCCGACCTCCCGTCCACAGGAGGAAGCTGACGGACATCTGGGAGGAGCTGAAGAGCGAGAAGGAGAAGCGCCGGCTGCTGGAGGTGGGTGGGGTGCGGGTCTTAGGGGCTGGAGGCTGGCCTCCCCTGAAGGCCTGTCCTGACGCCCTCTCCCGACTAGGTGCGGATGAAGCAGGGGACTCGGGAGTCCCGGACGCAGGGCTCCATCCACGCGCAGACGCAGACGCACTGAGGGTGGGCCCGGTAGGGACCATGGCGGGACCTGGGAGCAAGTCAGCCTCCGGCCACCCACGTCCTTGCACACGACTTTGAGAAACGCAAGAAAGTAAACCGCAGTGTACGCGCTCGCCGCGCCTGCCTTGTCCGTGCGGGGGCGGGGCCTGCGTGGCGGGGGCGGGGCCTGCCGGGCGCTCCCGGCCCTCCGCATTCCGGACGGTCTCTCCCGGGCACATCTGGCCAACATGTGGCTCCCATTACCGATCCCAAGGCCTCCGCGCGGCTATTTTTATCCACCGGATGGCGGGGGCGGGTGGGGGGTGTCTCCTTCGGACGTCTGCCGGGTGCTGGAGAAATGGCCCGCAGGAGGGGCCCAGGCGGGGTCGGGCTCTGCCCGCGGGCCCGGATTCCGGAATCCAGCTGTGCGCCAGAGGAGGAGGGCGGGCCTGCTCTGGAGCCGGGACCCCTCCCAGTTGGCCCCATAGTTCGCTCGGAAGAACTCGCTGGAACGCTTCTCTGCTCGGAGCCCCGCTCAAGCACACACGGTTAACACGGACTAATAGTGCCTCAGCATCAAGGGCAGGGTCCCGGGGCCTCTGTGTGTGTGTGTGTGTTTGTGTAGTGATGCAGGATCCCAGGGGCAAAGTGCGCCCAGGCCTTCGCCTGGGAAGGAATGCATTTGTGAGGAAGGAATGCGAGTGATAACTTGTTCTGTGCGTGAGGCTGTGAGGTGGTGGAGGGAGTGTTTTTTTTTTTTCAGTCTGTGAACTGAATGCAAGCATGTATGCTCAGGTGTTGGGTGGGTTGATGGAGGTGGTCAGCCTGGTTAAAAGAGTCGAGTAGTGTCTCAATCTGGGTCCCCCTGCATGGCAGGAGCCTGGAGGACGTTGGGGACAGAAGTAAGAAAGGGAGACTGAGTCACTAAGAATGCAGTTTTCATTGGTCACTTATCTCTTAACCGATCGCAGGAGAAGGGCTGGGGACCCTGTGCCCTGTCCTCCTCCCCCGCGGGCTTTCTGGCAGGACTGGGCATCTCAGAAGGTGGGGATCCAGGTCCAATGGCACTGGGGAGCCGTGGGGGCGGGGCCTCCATAGCACCGTGGGCAGGGGCAGTCCCAATGTCCTGGGGCAGCTGTGAGTTCCTGTGCATGTCCAGTACGCAGAGCCCCTTGCAGCGGGAAAGGGCCGGTCAGTAATAGTGCATGCGACCCAGGGTGCCTGTGGCCGTGGGGCTGGGCCCCAGCGTGCCAGTGCCCAGCAGGTCCGGCTGCCCAGTGCGCCAAATCTCCCTTAGGATCCGTTCCCGCTCCTCCAAGCGCTGCGCCCGCTCCAGCTCCTCTGCGGACGTGAAGACGTTTACGCTCAGCGGCCCGTCTGGCTCAGCCGTCAGCTCTGGGCCCTGCAGCGTGTCGTCGGGGCCCAGCCGCGTCATCGTGTCCTCCTCCTCGTCCTCGTCGTCCTCGGGTTCGAGGGTGCTGCTGCGGGGGTCCTGGCGCGGAGCAGGGACCCGGGGCCGCGGGCGGGGAGCGCAGGAGATACTGATGACTAGTAGGCACAGCGTTAGCAGCAGGCCAAAGCAGACTCCCAGCACGAAGTAGAGGCCAAAGCTCTCGGGGTTAGCTGGGGGTCAGAGGGCAGAAGTCATGGAGGAGCCCTGCCTCCCTGGCGGGTGGGAGTTATTCCACTGCGGAAGAACTCCAGTTTCGAAGTTTGGGGGGCAAGGACAGTCCTCCTTATTTGAAAGACATTAGGTAGCCGCCATCGGTCAGCGAGGGACGGGGAGGATGGGGCTGGGAGGTGGAGAGGGAAGGGGAGTGGGGCCTCAGAGGGGCAGGGAGGGGCCCATGCCCCCCGGGGCCCGCCCTCACCGCGGATGTGCGCGTAGGCCGCCAGGCTGTTGCTCAGCAACTCCATGTCCCTCCGTGGGGCATCCATGCTGCTCTGGGGGCGGATGGCAAGCCCCCCGTCAGCCTGCGGGGTCAGCAAGGTCAGATCCCAATCCCCAGCCGGGAGCTGATCCTGACCCCGCCTCCTCCGGGTAGCTCCCCTCGCTGGAAGGGCAGCCCCGGGGTCCAAACCGGAGACAGCAGCTCTCTAACTTTGTTACAGACCTGGGCCCTGCCTGGGAGATCCTTTCCTTGGACGCAGACGCCCCTCCAACTTGAGGGGTCAGGGAAGTGGGCCGCAGGAGGCTCCGCCCCCTTGTGGGGTCCCCAAATGACGCCCGGTTTCGCCGTCCCGGTAGTGGGATGGAGGAGCGAGACGCGAGTGCCTTTTCCACTCCCAGGGCGGGCTCCAGCGGCGAAGCCGCCTCCCTCTCCCCTCCAGCCCGCCCCGCCGGGACCCACCGGCCCAAAGGCCGGGGCTCACTCACCGTCAGCGCCCCGCTTCCCCGCTGCCGGCCCCGGCGCGTCCGGCGGCCGCATACACCCAAGACCCGGCCGCTCCCGCCCCGTCCGGTCCCAGCTTCCCCGCCTGCCCGGCTCGGCTCCCAGGTCGCGGCAGCGCGGGCCGGACACGGGCCGATGGACCAGCCGGCCGAAAGTTTCCTCCGAGGAAAGAGGAGGGGCGGGGCGGGGCGGGGCGGGGGAGGCGGGGAGGAAAAGGGCCGGGAGAGGAAGGGGAGAGGAGCGAGCGACTGGGAGGAGGGGGAGCGAGGCCGGCGGGGCCGTCTGCTCTCCCACAGGAAACCGCTGGGGAGGCTGGTGGCAGGGTCCCGCCCCCAAGCTACTAATAACAAAAATAATGAAGTTTTGCCTATGTCTCTCTCTGTGTGTGTATGTATGTGCCCTTTGTAATATTCTTTCATTTAATTCTAACAATCCTATAAAGTGAGTACCATTGTCGCCACTTGGCAGATAAGTAAACCGAGTCACGGAGATTGAATAACTTGACTAAAGGGTCAGTATTTGAACCCAGTGCTCTTGGCCCCTAGAGCCCGGGGCTCTTAACCTCTTCTCTACACCTTGCTCTTCCTCCCAGAAGGCCCTCTCACCCAGGAAGACTGCCCCTCTTCTGCAGTCCTCCCCCAGATCGTGAGTTTACAACAGAGGGGGCTCCGGCTGGGAGAGCACGTCCAGCTGGCAGAACTTCTGTCACACGGGGTTAATGAATGTTGGGCTGGAGCTTGGAGCCGGGAGCAGGTCAGCCTTGCCCAACCCGCCTGGAGGTTCTGCTGGCTCTGTGCTCTTCTGCACCAGAGCCTGCCCGGGAGATGCATTTTGTCCTGGCTCAACCTGCGCCTGCGCTTGCCGGCGTTTCCACCTGGGCTCCGCTTGTGCGCTCCATGTGTTGTGTGATCCATGTGTGCGGCCTGGGTCTTCTTCCTGCTCAGACTCTCAGCACCCCCCCTTCTGGGCTCCCCTTCCTGTGCTGGGGCTTGGGTGAGGGGGAGGCCTTCTTGGCGGGAGCCTCAGAGAGGAGGAGGGAAGGAAGGGGGAGAGGAAATTGCAGACATAGCTGAAGGCGCGGCCTGAGGCCTGTGGGCCGGTGACCCCCCTGTCTGTCCAGGCTGGAGACCCCATCCCCAGTCCTGAGACTGGGTTCAAGCAGGGGGCAGATCTAGATGGAGAAAGGACAGACCGGCTCCCACGGAGATGGGAAAGGACTCCTGGGTGTCTTTGTGACTGTTGAGTCTGTTTTGTGAGCATGTGTGCAGGCATTTCTGCCTTTATTTGTATATTTGTGTGTGTCTTTCCTGTTTATCTGCTTGCGCATTTTGGGGGGGGGGTACCGCTGCATGCAAACCCCTGCAGCTGCTGGTCAGCAAATGCTCCGTCCCGGGAATGGGGAGGACCTCTGGGAATGGGGGTTCCGGCAGGAAACAGGACAGACACAAACCCCTTCCCTCGTAGAGCTGGCTCCCGGCCGAGAGACAACCATTCCATGAAGAAGGTAGCCTCGGTGCTGCTGAGGCTCGGGGCGATGGAGCGCACCTGCAGGCCGCTCTTCCGGGCGCGTGGGAGGGGACACCAGAATCCTGCCGCGCGGGGCTCGGCGAGAGTTGTGGCAGGAGTCACCAGGCCTCGAAGCCAGAGGGCCTTGGGGCGCCTCTCTCCCGGGTGCAGCTGAGGGGGCGTGGGGGCCCCCCGCGGGGGACCTCGGACGTTACTGTCCATGTGGCGGGGAACCTGAGAGTCTGGGGGGTTGGGGGTAGCGTCACGGTTCCTGACGGACTGTGGAGAGACCCCGGTGGGGACCCGGGGCAGCACGGGCAGCCGCGGGGCGGGCATGGGAGCCGGGAGAGCGGCGACGGCCTCAGCTGTGCGGGCAGGCGGCGCCCAGGGCTGGGTCCAGGAAGTGCCGCTGTCTGGGTGAGGCGGGGTCACCTTTCGAGGCGGTGTCAACAATTCCCGCCTTGCCTGAGGCTGTGAGGGAAAGAGGACGTAGGACCACTGCTTGACGCTGGGCCAGAGCACCTGAGGGAAGCATATGTGGGGTGCAGGTTTTGGGGGGTGGTCAGAGTTGCCTTTGAGATGATTTGAGATGTGCGTTAGATACCCGGGGGAGGTGTCAGGCAGGGGACCTTGGGAGGAGTCTGGGCTGGACATGAGTTTGGGAGCCCTCGGCACAGAAGATGGATGGAACTCCCTGGGAGTGGGTGAGATCATCTGTGGGGCAGGGAGGGAGGAGAAGCCGCTGAAGTCCGAGCTCAGCTTGCGCAACCTTGAGGGTTCTCGTGGGGGAGGAGTCAGGAGATCGCGGGGGCGGGGTCAGGGTGGAGAAGGTGTGGGGAGACACCCTGAGGTGGGAGGAAGAGCCGGCTGGGCATCACACTGAGCAGACAGGTGGACGTGCGGCCAGAATCTAACCACTGGCCGTGGTATCAGTGGGTTTCCAAGGGCGCTTGGGTTCACTGGAGGCCTTCCATCCATGGGAATGTTGGTGTGTGCTGCAGCTGTCCTCGGACCGACCTTGTGTCTTGAGGATGTTGGTCTGAGTCCCTAGGGCGCCCACCTGCGTCTTCCCCAGGGGCCACGTGCACGCCTCTCTGCATTCATGAGAGCATACCAGGTTTTGGATCCGTTCGTGTTTAGCTATTGCGGTGCTATGTGGACCTCTGGGTATGGCTGAGCTGCTGACACAGGTGTCTGTGCCTTGGTGTGTGACTCAGCCCTGGTGAAGCTGGTGGCCATGCTGAGCAGAGTGGGGGTTGAGATGCTTCCTGGTCCCTTCAGGGACTGGGGTGTACAGGGTACCCAGAGTGTTGCCTTCCTCTAGGGAGATGCATGGGGCCAAGCTAGGCTGTGTGGAAGGAATAGCAGCCTTGCCCTGGAGGGTTCTGAAGAAGCTGAGGGCTACTCCTGGAGGCCCCAGGGAATGTGCCTTTGGCCCAGGTGGGCTGTTCCCACAGCACTCATGCCCTCCTGACCACTTGCCTGCTTTTCTGCCTGCCTCGCTCTGCCCGCCCTGCCCTCCCTGCGCGCCAGCCAGTCTGTAGGGGTTCCCAGCCACCTGCTTTCCGGTTGTACTGGCTGGCATCTCTGCATATCTGTCACTCGCTGGCCTGGCTTGCATCCCATCTCTCTACCTGCTGATTTCCTCCCTGTCTGCCAGCCTATGACTGACCTGCTGCCCGTCCACCTGCCCACTGGCTGGCTGCCTCTCTGCTCTCCTGTCAGCCTGTGAGACTAGAGATTTGTCACCTTGGGAGGCACAGAGAGTGATCCTAGGATGAAACTCAGGAAAGACAGATCTTTTTTATTTTTTAAATTTGTAAAAATATATTTATTTGACAGAGAGAGAGAGAGAACACAAGCAGGGGAAGCAGCAGAGGGAGAGGGAGAAGGAGGCTCTCCGCGGAGCTGGGAGCCCAATGCAGGGCTTAATCCTAGGACCCTGGGATCACGACCTGAGCCGAAGGCAGATGCTTAACCCATTGAGCCACCCAGGTGCCCCAAGACAGGTCTTTTTTAATGAAACAAGTTAAGACAGGTCTTTGATGGGAGTTCAGGGGGCTGAGGGATCCAGGGCCTCTAGGAGGGCTCTCAGAGGGACTGGCATATTCAGGGCCCAATGCAAAACCCTACTCTGCTCCCTTCCTCTGTGGTCAAGCTGGGGGTCTGTTCCTGACACTAGGGCCTCCCCACTGAGGGGTTCAGGGGCTGACTAGGTCTTAGATGGAGGGAAGAAGGCAACCCATTCATGGCCTCCTTGGACCTGCCCAGTCCTCTGAATACTCCTCAGGCCCGGGGACAGCTGCTGGGAAGAAGCCACAGTGAAATTTATAGAACGAACAATAAATGGATATTGAGTGCCCTCCTGGCACCTGGTACTTGGTTGGCTACGTGCTACGTGCGCTTCACCTTCAGATCCTCCCAGTGACCCTGTGCAGTTTGTAACGGGACTGGGACTTCATCTAACTCGGAGTGCAGCAAGGTTCAGGTGAAGCCGGTCTGTGTGGTCACGTGGCTTTAAGGGGCGGGGCCTAGATTTGACTTTAGAGCCTCTGCTCCCAACCAGTCTTCCACTGGGCGGTTCTAGGTCACGGTTCCCCACCCAGTCAGACCCAAAGCTGCCTTTTCATGATACTCTGTATGGATCCTTTAATGCTCCTGAAGTGAAATTAATGCTAATATGCCCACCTCCATGTCTGATTAAAAATATAAAGAAAGAAAAGGTAATAGATATGGTTGAAGTGGTCACTCGCTTGGAACATGACAGCTCCGAGTGCAGACTGGTGTTGGGACATTGCGGTCATGACCGTTTTGGAAATGGCGAGGAGCTCTTGGTAAAGTTCTGAACGACACGGAGTACAGATTCCCTCCACTTCACACGGTCGTTGCATTTCCCGAAGGTTCCATGTACATTATATGTCCACCAGTCCTTTGTGTTTATGTATAAAAGGGAGATAGATTCTTGGCTCTGGTCACTGTAAACATGTTTTCACTCACATCGTGCAGGATGTAGAATCTGCCTTCCTTGTGGGACTGTCTCTGGCTCCCACCCTCTGCCAGCGGCACCCTCATCATTCTGACGAACCCTCCCACATGGACATGCAAAAAAGAAGCCTGCCCTCATCTGAGTAGGGAAGGCAGATAGAATCAATAATCAGACATATGGTATCCTACGAGGCTGTGGTAAGCACAATGAAGAAACATAAAGTGGAAACCTTAAGGGGTTAGAGAACTCCAGGTGTTCACGGACAGCCTCTCTGAGGTGACATTTTGAGCAGAGGGAAGTCAGGGAGGCACCCATGCAAATATCTAGGGGAAGAGCCTTCCAGAAATAATAGCTCAGGCAATGGCCTTGAGGTGGAAGCCTGCTTGGCTCCCTTAGGATCAGCAAAGAGCCCAGTGTGCCTGGCACAGGGAGTGAGGAGGGGTGAGGGGCCCACAAGCTAGAGAGGAGGCCAGGTGCAGAGCCTGGTTTGTGGACCTTTCCAAGCCACAGACCGACCTCTGGATGTTATCCCGCATGGGACAGAAGCCATCAGAGGTGTGTAAGCAGGAGAGGGACAAAACCCAGCTTGTAACAGGCTCATTAACAGGCTCATTCTGGCTGCCACGTGGCCCCTGGGCGTTTGTAGGGGAAGGTGGGAGTAG